TCAAAATTCAAAATTCAAATTCAAAATGTAGTGTTACAGATCATAATTCTAGAAGACAGAATTCCGATAGCTCAAAATTTTGACACATTTTCGAAAATGAGAAGAAAAAACTTCGTAAGTCTCACCAATTCGTCGACTTATTAAATCACTTCTCAATTTCCAGAAAGCAGTGATCTTATGAAGAATAGAGATTCGAGCAACACTTGCAAAAGTACACTGAATGAGTAGTGAGAAAAGAAAGTGCAGCTTTTCTGGGGTATGTTATTCCGCAATTTGTTTTTGCACACCAGGGTCATTTACAGAACTGGGTCATTTGCTTAACTCGCCAGCTTTGTTTTAAGCTGGCCAAACTTTATGATGTTGGTTTCTACTTGTTGCACTTAATGAGATCTACAAATGAAACGAAAATCATAAAGATTAGCCGACTTAGAAGAAAGTTATTATACGAGCTTGCGCAACATGTGCTGTTAAGCAAAAACAGGTACTTGAAATTAGCTACCCCGCTTTCTCTCATCGAAGATTGAAATAACTTGTAGAAAACCTTGATTTCAATGAATAATCTCCAGAAAAAATGGGTTCATTTCAGTCAAAATTCCCCGAAATTTGTAATCAAAATGTGAAAAGTGCAATAAAACAAGCGGAAGACCATCGGAACACAGCAATTTACTGAAAAATACGTAAAAATATTCTTCAGAAGTAATTTTTAGTTGACAAAAATGTGATTTCTGCTGAAATCTACACTGAAATCATGTTTTTTTGATCTAATTTTTTAAGATTTTAAGGTTTATGTGATGTGATTGTCAAAATTGATTGTTTCCTGTAGTCTTGCAAATTGTCTGAACAATGGCTAAAGTCAGTATTGATACTTTGCTGTAAAATTTTACTACGAAAAAAGGTTTACAAAGACTTTCAGTAAGGCGAAAATGAAATTCTACTGCAAAATTTTTAGAGAAAATCATCTATTTCAAGGAGTCGTCTACATTTTTCTTACAAAATATATGTCTAGTCTTTTTCTTACTAGGCTAGTCTTGCTTACTAGTCTAGTATTTCTTACTAGGTGTCCTAGCTTACTAGGCTAATATTGTTTACTAGGCTAGTCTTGCTTACTAGTCTAGTCTTTCTTACTAGGCTAGTCCTGCTTACTAGGCTAGTCTTGCTTACTAGGCTAGTCTTGCTTACTAGTCTAGTCTTGCTTACTAGGCTAGTCTTGCTTACTAGGCTAGTCTTGCTTACTAGGCTAGTCTTGCTTACTAGTCTAGTCTTGCTTACTAGGCTAGTCTCTAGTCTTGCTTACTAGGCTAGTCTTGCTTACTAGTCTAGTCTTTCTTACTAGTCTAGTCTTTCTTACTATTCATAGTCCTGCGCCTACAAGGCTAGTCTTAAGGTTAAATATGGGATTTGGTCACTTGATAATAGATGAAGAAGTTGAAGTTGAAGAAGAGCTGCATGAAAAGTTTAATTAAACCATCTGAAATATTCAGAATCATTTCAAAAATCGATGAAATCTACATCGTCTCACGTTTTTCTGATCTAATTTCTCAATATTGGGGGGTATTTTTGATGTTTTGGTGTTGAAAAAGGATCTTTTTTTGCATTTTTGAAAATTTTAAATATTTCCGAGCAAATTCTGAAAATTTAAAGGATAAGATTTTTTCTTTGAAGAAATTGAGCAATATTTAGTTTCTTCAGTGAGATCGTTCCCTAAAATGGAATGGCTTTTAAAAGGAAAGCAAAAGAGTTTTGAAAAGGGAATAAAAAGAAAAACAGAAGCAATTAAATATTGAAATGAAACCACGACCACAGGAAAAAAACTCGGAAATCGTGGTCTAGATGAGAATCATCAAAACAAAGCAAAATAAAAAGATGGCAATTATCTCCAAAAGAAAAACAAAAATTAGCTCTAAGATCTCGAAGCTTTTGCGCAAAATAGGGGAAAATTGGATTGAAAAAATCTAGAGAACACTGTGAAAACATTCATGAATCTTTCGAGTGCGTAACAATTCTCATTTTTACATACCGTATTTTCTATAATAATAATGCAGTTTGTAATAGTAATGCATCTTAATATAGCTATCTTATTATAATCATTTTAAATATAGTGGTGCTCCAATAGTAATGCATCTAATATAAAACGTAAGTAATGCCCTGAAAACAGTAGTGCAGTCCAATAGTAGTGCAGCCTCAGGTAATAGGTAGTGCAGTCTGTAACCAATAATGCAGTCTGTAATAGTAGTGTAGGCATAAAGGGGGGTAGAAAAAATAGTAGAGTGCACTACCATTACAGAAAATATGGTATATGTTTTCCCAAGAAGTATCATGATCGATCTAGTCAGCTGAAAATCGGTATCATATGATAGTGACATGAGATTAGATCGAAAAGTCTGTGAAAATCGATGGATTCCATCAATCTATGCACCTTGGTGTGGAAGAAAAGTGAAGTAGATGCGCAACTCTGATCGAGAAAACGGGAAAGATAGGGTGGGAAAAGGGGAAAAGGAAAGACAAGGGACAAGGAAGGAGAAAAGAAAGAAAAGAGACGAAGACAAATTTTGGAATCCAGTCTTCGTCAGTCATCTTGTCCTATCTAGTCGTTCACTGTTCAAAAAGAAAAAAAAGGGTGTAGATTTGAGAGGGTGTCCGCTTCCGCAACCTTCTCTTCACCCCCTTGTCCCCTTGTGGAGAGCATTATTCAGTCAGTCAGTCAGTCAGTCAGACCCACTACTTGACAAATGTGACTAGTTTATTTGGCCTTTCATTCAGCCGATTCCCTTACATAGAAAGCACGTTAAAATCCTTGATCGATCAAATCAAAGACTGCGATGAAAGTTGAACTATTTTAGTACTCTACTTGAATACAAAAACATTTAAGTCAAGTCATTGTTCAGTAATTAAGCCACTATTTTGGCTATTAAGTTATTAGTTAAGTAATTAAGCAATTAGCCAAGTAATTAAGCTATTACATTAAGTTATTAAGTTGTTACTTAACAAATTGGGGTTATCAGCTAAGCAATTAGGTTATTAGTTGGCTATTAGTTAAGTAATTAAGTAATTTGGTTATTAGTTAAGCAATTACCGTAAATACTGTAATAGTACTCCAACAAAAAAAGGCTCGTTTTCCGGATCAATACTGTAAAGAAAATGTCAAAAAAGTGACTGTTTATTGAAAAGCTTAAAAAGAGTTCTGACTTGTCAAACGGTGTAGAAGAAGGTAGACGGATAAAAAGTAGACAAAATTAAGCACCCAATCCATTCCCAGAACACATCGATTTCAATATTTCTTTAGTCTGTCACTCTTTTCCTTTTCGCTTATTTGTAATGTTAATCCGAGTTGAATGAAAAGAGAAAAACGGAAGTTTAAAAAACGAAATTCTTTTGCGCAAGTTGGTCAATTTTCTTTTCGCGAAAATCTTTTTCACATTCGATGAAAAGTGATCCGTTTGTCTTTGATGTAAAATCAGAGAAATCGAATCAATATTTTTCAACAGTTTTCAAATGGTTTCAAATGGTTTTCAAATGGTTTCATGATTTCAAATGATTTCAAATGATTTTCAAATGATTTTAGAAGAGGTTTCCAAATGGTTTCAAATGGTTTACAAATGATTTCAAATGATTTTCAAAATGATTTCAAATGGTTTTGAAAGTGATTTCAAATGATTTCAAATGATTTCACGATTTCTAATGATTTAAAATTGTTTCAAAATGATTTCAAATGATTTCAAATGAGTTCCAAATTGATTTCAAATGATTTTCAAATGATTTTCAAATGATTTCAAATGATTTCAAATGATTTCAAATGGTTTCAAATGATTTTTGAAAGTGTTTTCAAATGATTTCAAAATGATTTCAATGATATCAAATGATTTCAAATGATTTCAAATGATTTCAAATGATATCAAATGATTTCAAATGATTTCAAAAGATTTCAAATGATATCAAATGATTTCAAATGATTTCCAAATGATTTCAAATGATTTCAATGATATCAAATGATTTCAAATGATTTCAAATAGCTTTCAAATGGTTTTAAATGATTTCAAATGATTTTCAAATGATTTCCAATGATTTCAAATAATTTTCAAATGGTTTCAAATGGTTTCTAAGATTTTCGTCAAATTCCTTTATTTTTAAAACATTTTCAGTCATTTAACTTTTTTTTGACTTTTGACTCAAAGAGAGCTTTTCAATGGGTAAAAGTTTTCAAATACTTTAATAATCTAGATTTCAAAGTCATTAAAGTAAAGTAAAGGTTAAGCTGCTTTAAAGTTTAAAAGTTTCAATTTTAACATCCTTTAAATCGATTTAACAAGTTTCAAATCGATTGACAAGTAGAAAGATTGAAAAATTGAAAAAACTTTGATTCAATATTTAATTTGCAATTTGAGAACAATGAGTTTTTCCAAAAAAGTCAGAAAGTTCAAAAAATTGAAAAAAAAGAGGAAACTCGATCGCTAAATGAAAAGCTGCTGTTTAAGAGTTAAAAATGAGAGGAAAGCCTTGATTCGGACAAGTTTACAATCACTTTTGAAGGTTTTTTTTGAAAATAGATAATCATATTGTTTTATGGAACATTTCAATAGCCAATCCTCTTCAAATCAAAGCTAAAAGGTTGGAATTCAAAAGAATTTTCGACGAAATAAGTGGATTTGGGAATGAGATTGACATGCAAAAAGCCAAAAAAGGTAAATAAACCTGTTCTTTGTCTTTTCTTTGTCTTTTTTCTTTTCTCTCTCTCTCTAGAAATCTCTCTTGATATAAAAGAGAGAAAAAGACTAACTAGAGATTGTTTATGAGTCATCTATCTCAATGTGACGTCAAAAAAATGATTGTTTTATACAAATTTGTCAAATATTTATCAAATATTTATCAAGCACTCAAAAAAGAAAAAAATTTGAAAAAAAGAAAAAGCTGATAACTGAAAGATAAAATCTTTGATTTTAAACCCGAAAATGAAGGAAAATTGCAGTTTATAACGAAAAAATAAAGAAAAAACGATCAAATTAGTTCCCAACTTTCATGTACTCGGCAAAGTCGATGTAGCTGAAAAAAAAATAGATTTAAAACCTTTACGCTCCAACGACAGGGGCCAACTTTTTGACCGACTTGCAACCCGATTTTATATAGTTTTTCTTAATAACTTTTGATGAAACAAATATTTTCTGAAAGCTGACATTCTAAGCTATTTAAATCTTATTAAAATTTTTGAATCTGACAAGTTTAAGATGCTTAAAAATGAGCTACAAGTTTAGCCAAAAAATTGGCTTCCACCGATAATCGTTACCCCTGCCGTTAACTGTAAAGATCCGAGATTTGAGATTTTCCGGCATTTCAAATCTTTATAATGTGCTTTATACTCAAATCACGTAAACACACGTTTCCTCAGTGCAGATTTCTTTTAGATTCTTTGAGGCGCATAAAACGTGGCTTTGTTTATCCAGTGACTGTACTTTAAAGCCGTGGAAACTCGTTGAAACGCGCTATTTCTGGCACAATACCTTTTTTCTTACAAGGAAACACGTTGAAACGCCGGTTTTTCTGTCGGGTTTTTGCCAATTTTAGCTTCAAAATTTGATCTCACTGGATCAAAATTTTCATTGGCACCACAAGTCAAAAGATGCTCATTGAGATCACTCAAAGAAACAGGGATTTTGACTATAAAAATTCAACAAACCCATCAATTAGGGAAAGGTTAAGCTGTACTTCCATCAGTAGGCGTACTCAATTTATCCCACTTATCGAACACTCTTTTGGCTCACGGAAATTGATGACTTTTTTGCAAGAGAGCAAAAGTACGATCAACTCGTGTTTTCAGCTAATAGCTACTTTGAATTCACACAAAAATAAGTTCCTGTTTAAGATTTTGATTCGAAAAACATGCAGAATTTCATCTTTGGAGCTACTTTAGAAACAGTTAAGTTAATGTTTTTTGAAAAAATGGGGAAAGTTAGGAATTGATTGTGCTCTGCTCGAGCCACCCTTTCAAAGAAGCAAGCAAAATACATTTAGAGAAATATCTTAGTAAAACTTTTAGTTTTCTTTTAGAAAAGCCGAATCTTGATATTAGTTGATGAGAAATTACAATGATTGAATAAAATTGGAGTGAATAGATCTAAGCTAATGGTTTGACTACGATACTTTTCTTAAATAGGTCAAATAGATGCTAAAATACATCAATCTTTTTGAAAGTTGTTCAGAAAAGTAGCTCTTTTCTGTAAAATCTTATTTGATGCTTTGATTTTGAATATCTCTGATTCTCTTGTCCTTCCTCTAAAGATCATTTGTGTGATAAAAGGAAACGGAGATCACTTTGTATTCTTTTCTTTTTACAATTTTAAACACTGAACCAACGATTTATTTTATTTTTTATATTTTCTTGCTATTAGTGATTGTGCTAGATTTGGAATAAAATATTTAAATACCGTATTTTCTCTAATAGTAGTGAGCGACCTCTGAGCGTCGCCTAAATTGCTCGAAATCTCGAGAACCACTTATCAGAACCCATCGATGTGGGATCGGAAAATGTAGCTGACGATGAGATCTAGTGGGGGATTAGAGTGTTGAGCTTCTGTGAAAACTTTAAAAGCCATAAAATAGTCATCAACTCGGCTCGCTGGGGTGCACTACTATTAGAGAAAATACGGTAATCATTGCCCTTTGGTTCCTCTCTTACGCACTGCACAAAGCTATCGCAACCGTAAATTTTCTAGCTTTTTAACTCTATTTTTGTTGTTTAAGATTTTTTGGTGTTTATATCAACCCTCACCCATCTCCATTAATATCCATTTGCTCGAGCACACCGTCGATCATTTTCACCATCGAATCCTCGTCAGCCACCGGGTTTCCAGGTCCTGTAAATGTCATTGTTTGTTGTTGTCATTGTTGTCATTGTCATTGTTGAACTTTAAATCTAATAGCAAATCATTATACTCTTCCCCATCTCAAAATCTAAAACTTGCAAAACCTTGCAGTTTTGCTCTATTTCCGAGCTCTGATTCTTTGCCGATAATCATCTCGACTTTTCTTCACTCACCCCGTTTTTCCTCCTCTACAGCATCATGTGGAGTGGAGTGAGAGATTTCATGATTTCAGTTCCGTCGATCATCCCATCTTTGTTCAAATCGTGCATCGAGAAATAGTGAAATCTAGAGTTGAGATCTTCGTAAACATGATGATCGGAGAACAGTGTGAGATTGACGGGAAACATTCGATTTCAAATTTTTGCCGTAAAATTTGGAATGATCGGGGGAATTGCAAGCAAAAATAAAAAAAAAACATTTATATAGAATTTTATAATAACTTCAATTTAATTGTTTTATGACCTTTATGGTTCTAAAACTTTTTCCTCTATTTTAGAAAATAAAAATTATGTGCAGCTTTATAAAATTGTTACTAAGATCGTTGAAAAATTATTAGTTTATGATTTAAAGATTAATGATGTGATTTACAACAGATTTGTTGATTTTTCCGCCACCAACCTTCTCTGCTCTTCCGTCATCGTCTCCACATTGATCTTTGTCCTCGAAGTGTTGCTTGATGTGACTGAATATCTATAGATTGACCAGCGGAAAACGCCTCCCGTTGTGTTTTCCACAAGAGAGGCGGCCTTAAAGCCCGGGGTCCTTAAAGCCCGGGGGTCCTTAAAGCCCGGGGTCCTTAAAGCCCTGGGGTCCTTAAAGCCCGGGGTCCTTAAAGCCCGGGGTCCTTAAAGCCCGGGGTCCTTAAGCCCGGGGTCCTTAAAGCCCGGGGTCCTTAAAGCCCGGGGTCCTCAAAGCCCGGGGTCCTTAAAGCCCGGGGTCCTTAAAGCCCGGGGTCCCTAAAGCCCGGGGTCCTTAAAGCCCGGGGTCCTTAAAGCCCGGGGTCCTTAAAGCCCGGGGTCCTTAAAGCCCGGGGTCCCTTAAAGCCCGGGGTCCTTAAAGCCCAGGGTCCTTAAAGCCCGGGGTCCTTAAAGCCCGGGGTCCTTAAAGCCCGGGGTCCTTAAAGCCCAGGGTCCTTAAAGCCGGGGTCCTTAAAGCCCGGGGTCCTTAAAGCCCGGGGTCCTTAAAAGCCCGGGGTCCTTAAAGCCCGGGGTCCTTAAAGCCCGGGGTCCTTAAAGCCCGGGGTCCTTAAAGCCCGGGGTCCTTAAAGCCCGGGGTCCTAAAGCCCGGGGTCCTTAAAGCCCGGGGTCCTTAAAGCCCGGGGTCCTTAAAGCCCGGGGTCCTTAAGCCCGGGGTCCTTAAAGCCCTTTATGTCCCTTCAGACCCTTTACTTTCCTTCCGGAAAAGTTCAGAAAAAGCGCATAGTTTAAAGGAATTGTACAATAGAAAAAGAAAAAGACGAGGTGAAAAGGAACGCTAAAAAGAAACAGGGAACAGCGGAAAACGCTTAGCTCGTTCGCGTTTTCCGCTAGAGAGGCAGCCCATTCGGGGTCCTTTAAGCCCTTTATGTCCATGCGGGCCCTTTACTTCCTTTCCAGACAAGTTCAGAAAAAAGCTCATAGTTTAAAGGATCTGGGTACCATAGAAAAGAAAAGACGAAGTGAAAAGGAACGCAAAAAAGAAACAGGGAACAGCATTGTTTTCGAAGCGACTTTGTAGCATAAAACTTTCTTTTCAAATAACTAGGACTATTGTCACCCATGTTAAGCCTCGCCTCTTTTTAAAATAAACCAAAAAGTCAGATTTCCCATAACCGAAAACCCGCGGGAGCAAAATATCGCGCTTAAAAGCTGAATAATTTGCCTTTTCACCGATAGAGCAAACGTAATTACAAAGCGTCGCGTCTGCGCACCGACAAATGAACAGACAAACGTCTCTTCTGCTTTATATAGTAAATAAGAAGAAAGTAAACGAACGCTTCATCCTTCATCTCGTGTTCATCCCCGAATTTGTGGTGTATTTGATCGACGGATTCCACTTGAACCGGTTGATTTGGAGGAGGATCATTGGCAAGTGATTGAGCTGGAAATGGCAATTTTGAAAATTTCGAATACCGATTACTCTAATATTAGGTTGTTCGGATATAAACAAGCGTTAAGCTAAACTTATTTTTTTGAGAGAAGCTTTTAAAATATGTCTTTATTTGTATTTTTTTAAAAGTACGTTATCTTGTGCATATTTGGAATCTTTTTAAAAGAATAATTTCTTATTTTTAAGATTTTTTTCTTGTTTTAGATGATCGACTTCAAACATCAAGTTCGCGTCTGCCTAGGATCATGAACACTCTCGTCTGCCTAGGATCATGAACACCCGCGTCTGCCTAGGATCATGAACACTCTCGTCTGCCTAGGATCATGAACACTCTCGTCTGCCTAGGATCATGAACATGTCAAACGAGCTTGCTCAACAGTTTCTATGTTCAAATTCTACTATTGATGAGCATCTCCATGTCATTGGAAAGACGATCAGATGCGGGAAATGGCTTCCTCACGAATTAAGCAGTGCAAACAAGGCTTCACGAGTCGCTATTGCCGGAATTCTCATCCACCACGCTAAAGATCATGACTTTTTGATCCTCTCGTTACTGGAGATGAGAAGTGGATCTATTTCGATAATACTATTCGAAAACGGCAATGGCTAGGACCAGGAGAACGGCCGAATCCGACCGTGGAACCGGACATTCATGAGCATCTCCATGTCATTGGAAAGACGATCTGATGCGGGAAATGGTTTCCTCATGAGTTAAGCAGTGCAAACGCTCGTTTAGATCCGAACAACCTAATAGAATGCCAGTCTAGTCGCGTAGTCTAACTTCATTTTAGAAGATCGTTTTTTCTCAAGTGCCTAAATTTTTCCCAACTATACTTTTGATACCAAAAAATACTAGATTTCAAGGGCTATCATTTCTACTAAACTATAGCATAAAGCAGGAGAATGAGACGTTCAAAGTTAGACTACGCAACTGTACGCCTTTCATTAGAGTTCGATTAGAGTATTTACGGTGTTACTGTAGTGAGTTTAAAAGTATAAAATATTTAGTTAACTAGAAATTTGAACAGGTATTTCAAATTCAATTCAATAAAAATAGGCCAAAGTTAGTTTGACCTTAAAAAATTTGCATAAATATTAAGAAAAACCCACCAAAAGCGCACAGCTAACAACTAATAGCTGAAAAAGCATAAGAGTAAAATTATAGCCAAATTTGGGAAGAAGCTGAATTTATAAAAATGATAAGAAATCGGAAATCAATTGAGTGAAAGAGGAAAAGCTGAAAGGGAAAAGCTGAAATTGAAATGACGTGTCCTTTTTGTGTAAGAAGAGAGAGAAAAAAAAGAGTGGCAGAAATGGGAGAGAGAAAAGAAGAGACCATGAATATATTGAGAGGGATAAATCGATTCGATTTTGATCGAATTCAAGAAAGAGACACGCAATTTCAGATCAGAAACCATTTAAGGGAAAGGAAAGGAACAGACGTGCCGTGCAGCTGGGAAAACAATGGAAAACAATGGAAAAGAGTGGATGATTTTGGGGGAATCAGTGTTATTAGGCAAATAACACCTCAATAAAAGCGTAAAGGTCGAGGGGTTCCAATCCCTCTACGGGAAATCTTTTTCCTTTTTTTCATTTTGAATTTTCGATGGAAAAGCCGGGATAGGAGAATGATCTCGACCAGAGTGTGTTGATGGTGTTGTTGACAGACAATTTGTCAGACAAATTTTCGTATTGACAACTTTTTTGTCAGACAATTGATCCCGACAAGACTTCCGACGTTCCGACAACGCGTTTTCTTTTCAAAAACGCTAAAAGCGACCTTTATAGCCTTTTCGGCAAAGCTATAAAAATCGCGCGAAAAAAAATTTGTAAACTTTTCTTAAAATATAGTAATGAATAGTTTTATTTAAGGATTTCGATTTTTTAGGGCGTGGAGTTTTTTTTGAATAATTCTAGTACCAGTAAATGGAGACAATAGGCCTGGTAAATTCAAAGAATATTTTTGTGTAAAAATAGGTAAATGAACATTCAATCATGCAGAAAACAATGAACTTTCACTTTCCAAATATTTGATTTTCGAAAAGTTTACTTTACTTCTGGTTATCATTCTTCTTTTTTCTTGATTTAATCATTGATTTCTTTAGAAAATTCTCACATTTTTCTACCATTTGCTTTCAAATTTTTCGCATAATTAAACTCAATTTCCAAAGATGATTTGCGAAATAGAAGTTATGGGACAAAAGTTGGTAATTGTAATTGACAAAAGAAAATATTGTTTGCCCACTAAAGCTTTGAAACATTTTGCTACAGTGCAAACTCGTGTTACTAAGGCTCAAAGTGAGCCCATTCGCCATGGTCGTTTCCCGTGCACTTCCGCGTAGAGTATGCTCCTTGTTGACAGACAATTTGTCAGACAAATTTTCATTGATAACTTTTTGTCAGACAATTGATCCGACAAGACTTCCGACAAACTTCCGAGCAAACTTCCGACAACGCGTTTTCTAAAGGTGCGCTTTTTAAGCAAGGCTATAAAGGTCGCGCAAAAAAAAATTTGCAAACTTTTCTTAAAATATAGTAAATGAATAGTTTTATTTAAGGATTTTCGATTTTTTTAGGGCGTGGAATTTTCTTTTGGAATGGTTCTAGTACAAATGTAGACAATAGGCCTGGTAAATTCGTAAAATAATATAATTTTTTTTTAATAGTGTTTATTAACTTTTCCCGTTTTAAATCTTTTTCCTTTAATTTTAAGTAGCATTTAAAAAATTTTAGGTTTTAGCGAAAAAAGTAATAGAGTTATAGGAAAGAGGTAGTAGAAAAAAGAGTGCAAGATTTTAATGTACATTTGCATTTTGAAAAATTTGCTCATGCAAAGCATACAGGGTTACGGTAGCTTATCCCCTTGGCGCGCGCTTTTTAGAAAACGCGCGTTGTCTGCAAGGAGAACACCTCCAACTCGACATTCTGGTGGAATAAAACCTAGTTAGCTCCAATCGAGCTCCAATCGGTTCCCTGACCTTGAAAACCCCCAAATACAAATTTAGAGCTAAACATCTCTTCTTTTAACTACGCTCGGAGTCTGGTTGATCCGTTCCTCGAGTTAGAGCTAGCAAACACTATAACTTTCTTTAGCATTTCTATTTTTCAGTTTGCTTTGTTTAGTCCAAAATTCGAAAGCTCTTGATATTCTCTATTTGCTAAGCCATAAATCATTTCCGATACAACAGATTTGAAGGAAGTTAAAAGCGATGTTTATAGTGTGAGAGTTCATCATTTTTTTGTATTTGATGGTACTATGTCTGAACAGACGCGATGAGCGACCGAGCAGCTTTCGCCGTTTCAGGTTTTTCGCTTTAAGTCTAACTCAGAAATTTTTTTGGGAGCAATTTTTTACCTTAAATTTAACTGTATTTTTGCTACAAATTCTTCCTTTTAAACTAAAAATAGTTAAATCCTGTCAACAAGTCTCTCCATTCAATGCTTTAGTTCGCCCGGATTACAAGCACTGATAGCATAAGCACGGATTGCATAAGCACCGATTACATAAGCACTGATTGCATTTGCACCGATTTCATAAGCACTGATTGCACAAGCCCTGATAGCATAAGCACTGACTGCATAAGCACTGATTGCACAAGCACTGGATTACATAAGCACGGATTGCACAAGCACTGATTGCATAAGCACTGATTGCACAAGCAAAGTGGAATTAACTTGTAGATCAAACATCGGTCTAATAACATTCTTTGTATAAATTTAATCAGATCAATTGATAATTCTGTAGTAATGTATAGTAAGCTGTAGGACTTGATTAAAGTACTCAACTCAAGCAAACTCCTTAAGCTCGATTTGACAGGACGGTTTCCATTCTAGTGACGGTGTAAGTAGAGCTCCAGGAAATATTGCCCCGCAAGCAATCGACTTTTGCAGTTCCCCATAAAACGTCTCGATTTGTGGTCAAATCCATAACAACACTTGATCAATCCCACATAATTGATAAAGATTAATCTCTTAACATATAGGATAGCAGCTAAGCCACTACCTTTTTGTCCGAAATGTGGAAAAATGAATTTTTAGGAAGAATTTCAGGAAAAGTTGATTATTGTCATTGAGACAGTATTTGCTGCATTGCGATTTCTCTGACTTTCTGACTGTAGTAGCCACTCTGTGATCCGTATCGTCCATCTGTCGTCTGTTCCTTCTGGCTACGTGGCCAGACTACATCTGAGTCTTTTTCTCTCGATCACTTCCACTGGATCTCAGGTCCCGAAAGCTGGCGCATATCCGTACTCATCAGTACTTTAATCTATATTTATCTTTATAGAATTATTCCGGAAATCTTCTCGAAATCTTATAGAATTCTTATAGATATCCTTTTAGAATTCATAGAAATCTTGTAGAATTCTTATAGATATCTTCTCGAAATCTTCTCGAAATCTTTTTAGAAATTCTTATAGAAATCTTATACAATTCTTATAGATATCTTATAGATATCTTTTAGAAATCTTCTAGAAATCTTTTAGAATTCTTATAGAATTCTTATAGAATTCTTATAGAAATCTTTTAGAATTCTTATAGAATTCTTATACAATTCTTATAGATATCTTATAGATATCTTTTAGAAATCTTCTAGAAATCTTTTAGAATTCTTATAGAATTCTTATAGAATTCTTATAGAATTCTTATAGATATCTTTTAGAAATCTTCTAGAAATCTTTTAGAATTCTTATAGAATTCTTATAGAATTCTTATAGAATTCTTATAGATATCTTTTAGAAATCTTCTAGAAATCTTTTAGAATTCTTATAGAATTCTTATAGAATTCTTATAGAATTCTTATAGATATCTTTAGAAATCTTATAGAAAC